TTTATTGCAAAAATACCAAAATTTCAGCTATAATGTCGATTACCGTTTTCCCCATACAAACCTTTATAAATTCAAACCGTTGTAACACAACACCACCACATACTGCAAGGCGAAGGTCACGTTTCGTGTAACCAAACTCGGTCGTTATGTAATATAGTAGATGTCGGCGGTAACCGTGTCACGTTTCGCGCGCTGAACATTCGCATAAAGATTAAAAAAAAAAAACACTCCTCGCATTGTGAGCTTGGGCCGCCTGTGTCCCGTCCCCTAGTAAAATAACCTCAGGGGACACGGTCACAACGCATTTTCATTGGAGGAAACAACAACACATACAATTGGTCAAAAGGTGTCGACATGTCTGCCACGCAGGACGAAAGTGCAACGCAACGTAACATCCGATGTACCCATACATGACGTACCTACCCAATTTATTTCCAAATGGCGTCCAGGAAGGTTGATGCAAGGTTACGTCTGGTAAAAAATCAGAGAGAGATGAAAAAGAAAATTGAATCTCCGTTGGCAAAGTATCCTTTTCTAAACCTTGGATTTCCAGGCGGCTAAACTTCAGAATACCTTCGCTGAAGTGTTCTTCATCTTGCAGCCCACATCTGCGGTCGATCGAGTAAGGACTGGTATTTTCAGAATAGACAGTTGCTATTCTTGAGGTTTCCAGAGAATTCTTTAACAACAATATACTTCTATAACATTACATTCTTCAATCTTGGTGTGAGTTACATATTGTGAATATTCCCTTCCTTGTTTAGAGACTTAAGTAACTAAATACACGTCCAAAGTCAAGGTGGAAGGACTGGAGTACTCACAAATTTCTAAAACTGAGCCCCCATGGGAATAAAAAGGGGCGCAATGTGAGTGGCTTTTTTGCTATCTTTTTGACCTCCCAGGTTTTTCGTAGGAACTCTAGCAATTAGGAAGAGAAGTATGAACTCTAATTTCTGAAAATTTGTATTTATTGCATAAAATGTTGGGTCCATTCAACAAAATAGACCTACATTGCGAGCTAGTTTAGTTGAAAAGGAATTAAGATTATGTTTGGAAGTTCAGGACTGTGGTTGTGAGGACCCTCACATACATGTATGATAAACAAGATCCAATATTTGGGATTTCCATTCAACCATATGTGGTTTATAATATAAGCTAGTAGTAATCAAAGATTATGAGTGCGTTCGACACCTTAAGGTGATTCCTTTGAATTGCATTGCACATCCCTACTGTGCACAATTTTCGCATCATTAGTGTGCGCTTATGAGCGCATGCACATACGCAACATATACAAAATGGTGGCTTTTTCTAAATGGCTTGGCTTGCGAGAGTCAAATCATCCTTTTTTCCTTGGAAACGAGTACCGGGACCTAATGATTTTTTTATTTAGTTGGAATGCAGAGATCACCTTCTTTCTATACAATGAATATGGACCAATTTCTATAGCAAAGTAAAAAATTATCATGGAAAATGGGACCATAGCAAGCACTCGTAAAAGATAATGTGTGGTCCCAGAACACTGCGTGCTTGGAACATGTTGAATCCCTTTCGACTAAATGTGAGTGCCTTTCTCATGTAATATACATCAAATTGCTCCTCAACATTGGTGCAATACATCTATTGTTCTATTTCTCGCTTAACTTTCTCCCTATTTTTCTGCTCTCTTAAAGCGTAAGGTGAATGGTTCAAATATAAACATTTTTGAAAGCAGATAATTTTAGGAATTATGGGGTTTATTGAAGGTCCTCCTGCTCCTAAATGAATACGGGAACCCCCCCTGTTTTTATTCAAATTTTAAGTTCTCTTGATACAAGCAGCCAACAACCATCAAGGTTTTACAGACAGATATATCATAGTGTCAAAGTCCATGCCAGTGAAGAGGTCCCCTGTATAAACCACAATTTATTGATATGTTGCGTGATCGCACCAGTTTCTGTAGACTCACAAAAAATATTTACATTATTTCGTGCAAAATATTTTCACATTAACTGGTAATGTTTAAACGTAAAGCTAATTTGTAAAAGTATATAATTTTTTACATGTATTACATTTTTCTAAGCTGGAAGCACAGATATAAACAAACATTTGCAATTGCATGCTTGTTTATTGTAAACAAACTCCATGCGACTGATTCGAATATTTCCGGGTTTTGACAAAACACTGACCCCCGGTCAACTGACCCCCTATTGACCCCCTGCTGACCCCCCTACTGACCCCCTATAAAATCAATGGGAAAATGAAAATTAAAAAAGCCCAGAACTATCAATGGGACCGATTCAAGTTCACCAATAAATTTAGCTCACCTGAAACTTCCAAGATGGCGGTTGCATTGCAGATTTCCAACTCTCTTGTTCTCCTTTGACTCTTCAGTGGAGGTTTTGTTGACAGAAAATCGAGCACAGATTAAGCTTGAATATCATCAAATATTGTTTTTGTACACATTGGAAAATGAGGCAAAGAGAAACACTGACAAGTGAGCAGGCTCGCGAAAAGGCTTGTGATGGACTGCTCATGCGAACGACACGAACACATGCGCAAACCTCAACCGCAAGAATTTCTTAGATAGCTTTGTTTGTACAAGTAGGTTGCCAAATTGAATTTCCGGTTGATGTAATCGTGTGTGTGTCGCTCGCAGTTAGTCGTGTACGTGTTAAGTTGCTAGAATTTCCTCGTTATTTTCACTGCTTAATTTTCTAATGGGTACAAATACCATACTTGATGATATTCCAACTTATTCTGTGCTGGATTTTCCGTGGCAAATCTTTCCATCAAATGAGAAGGGAGTCGGAAATCTGCAACGCGTCCGCCATCTTGGAAGTTTCAGGTAAGCTAAATTTATTGATGAACTTGAAGCGGTCCCATTGATATTTCTAAGGCTTTTTTAATTTTCATTTTCTCATTGATTTTATAGGGGTTCAGTAAGGGGGTCAGTAGGTGGTCAATAGGGGGTCACTTGACCGGGAGTGAGTGTTTTGTTGAAACCCAATATTTCCCCTGATGAATAAAAGTAGACAGTATGTTTACATTGCCACTCCTTGGTTCACTCTTGTCTTCAGAGTACTTTTCCACTGATTCCAAACAATATTTGAGTGAACAATATTCAACCGGATAAAGACTGACCTATCTGTCGCGACTGGAACCAATCAACAAATTCAATCAAACTACAGCCAATGAAATATAGCTGTTCCCATGGTTAACATCCCAAAGCCAAGGCAATTCAAAGTTGTGTTTGTGAACATGTAGACTGAATAAACTACAAACCACAAGGTAGTGTCTAGTTTTAGAAATCCACTTTATGATGCTCAGACTTTCTCAGACTAATATGAAAACTACGAGGTGCGCGATAGTCTTTGCACATATGACGTATGATATTCAAAATGGTGCAGAACATGGAGAGATTCAATGAAAAATCTGCAAAAAAAGGTCACCCTTGAAACCACAGGACACTCAAGACTATGACCTGCGTTTGAAATTAAGATAAATCTACACAAACCATCACAAACTGTAAAGCCTTAGGAGTATACAGTTTTAAACTGTAGAGGACTTAACATAGAACAATACAAGTGTGCAGTTTAATAAATAAATGTAGAGCAAGATCCAGCACTATGTCTAGCACAGAGAGCTGTAGAACTATACAGTTTACGACTACAACTAGAGGTGTGCAGGTCATCATGCACAAGGAAGTGCAGATACATGTAACCTTTTCTATGAATCAAGATATCACTGAATATTTTGGGGATGGTTATGTGTTCCAAAATTCTTTTTAAATTAAATTATATGATTTTTCAGTGCATAAAACATGTTGGGTATAACCAGAGGTTTGTTTTCATTTTTCATTCACTCAACAAATCAATATCTTGACTATCTTGATGTTCAATAAACTTGAATACATAACATTACAGACTCAGTGAAATGTCAAACAGTTTCATTACTAAAGTTCAAGTTGTTTCATTTCACTTCATCGGCGATAAAATGCTAACTAGTTCAGATACTGGTCAGGGAGGTGCAGTAGTCCAGTGGTTAACAAACTGGACTTGGGATCAAGTGGGCCAGGTTCAAGCCCTGGTATTGCTGAGGCTATTGTGTTGTGTTCTTGGGTAAGACACTTAACTCTAGCAGTGTCCCTCTCCACCCAGGTCTGTTGATACCCCTGCAAGAGACTTGTATTCCATCCACGGGGGAGTAGAAATATTGCTACTTGCTTTATGCTCACACACAGACCTGGCAGGTACATACTGAGAACCATTGTCCCATATATATGTATGTGGTTCCATCAAAGCCACGGTTGGAGCACATGTAGAATGAGTTGACCACCAAGTTACAGTTCTGCAAAATTAAACTTTTAGTTTTTTTTGGCCTGTTGTGTCAGCAACTTGAAACAAAACAAAATCATTTTAGATGTGGTCACATTCATTCAATCAATACTTATAAGTGAAATTCTGGCTTGCAGTTGATACACTCCAGTTATGTTTGCAAAATATTACAAAAAAAACTGATGTGAAGCTAAGTTGTGATAACCTTAATGTTCATCAGATACAATAGTTCTGGGCAGCTTTTTTGTGTGCTGTGTAACATACCTATAAAGAGTGCAATTCTGTGGACTTCACACGTGCTTGGGAAGAAGCATAAAGAGGTAAACTAAAAGAGAGTATGATTTCTGAACATAATAGACACCATTCTTACCCATCAAGACTAACTCAATGATATACAAAATAATACAGGTTGTAAATATTGTTATGTTCTATCATATTCTCTATTCAACAGATTGAACTCATGCATGTATAGATAATCATGTGATCTAATAGGAATGCATTAGCATCTATGTAACATGATGTAACTAGCATGCATTAGTGAAGTAACATCCCCCCTTAATAAAGAATAAAGAGCAATTTGAAGTCCATAATAATAACTTTTTTATGATAATAGAATCAACGCTCGGTAATCAGTGAGCTAAGTTGTAATCAATTGTCAAATTCGATTCCTATCAAACGTTCAACGTCTCTAAATTTCTAGCGTGCATAGTCCTTGAGGTATTCAGGCTCTTTGATGTTTCTCTTAGGATGCTGTGTAACAGCAGCAGGTGTTGTTTGCTGCTCACTTGGTGGCTGATTGGCCACAGTTGTCTCAGGTGGCCTGCTAGGTGGAGTCTTTTCCTTGTTCGGTGTCACTGCCAGTGCTGGGTTGAATGTGTGTTCTAGAGGCCTTGGTTGAGGCTGTTCCTTTTGTTCCTGAGTCTCAACTTCATAAGATCGTTCATCAAGGTGTTGGGTCACCGTTGCCTTTTCCCACACTAACTGGCCTCATCTGTACCACAGCTCCGTCTAGAGGGGACATGTCTCAGGCCCACTTGTTGTACTACTTGGTCTCCCTTGTTTTTTTTTGGCTTTTCACAGAAGCCATGCCTCTTTAACAGCTGCTTCTGCCTTACCATTTGTCTGTTGATTCCCCAGACTCCCTGGTTGGTGCTCAAAACCCCATTCGTTGACAAAGTTGCTGAATTTCTCACAAGCAAATCGTGGACCATTGTCACTTATTACAATGTCTTCCAAAGTGACATTTCAGTTTCTTCATGACAGTACTCACTTTTGTGTCTTGAAGATGGTCGATATCCCAAAAATTTGAGAAATAGTCCACCATGATTAGGTAGTCTTGGCCATCAATGGTGTATAGATCTATACCAAATTTTTCCCAAGGTCGGTCTGAAATTTCATGGCTCAGCAATGACTCTTTTGTTGTCTCACCTCATATTTGCTGCATGTCTCACATTGGGATATGTACTCCTTCAGTTCCACAGTCATACCTGGCCATTACATACAGTCCATGGCTCTTGGTAATCAGTAGTGTACACCTATGTGTGAGCTGTGTAGACATTCTTCATCTTGGGCCACATCTGCTTAGGGATGATAAGTCACTCTCCTTTGAAAACAAGACCATAATAAATGCTCATCTTATCCCAGAAATGGAAATTGGGGGCTAGTACAGCTGGGAGTTCTTGCTTCTCCTTAGGCCAGCCAGTCTGGATCACTTCTTTCAAATTCTGCAAAACTTCATCGTCCCGGGTGCTGGTTTTCATCTCTTAAGTCTCTCGTCAGTCATCAGCAGCAGTTTAAGTGCATTTACATGCTCAAACTCCCCTTGAGCATTATCAGTGTTGGAAAATGCCCTGCTGAGGGCAACTTGCGCCCGTTTTATGAAGCTCGATTTGGCATAGAGATTTTCGTAGAGCTCTACGACTCTACGCTTTCCTCACCAGTCTCCTCCTATGTGTTGGAAAAATACATTACCTTCTACTTCGTAGCTTTTACCGTAGTTGTGTACTGTTATAACTATGGTTACCTGCCTATTTCGTAACATTTGATTTCAATTTGTAGCATGTTCCTTGCATATATCTCATATATATCAAAGTGTTATTTAAGTGTTATTATGGTTTACAGTGTTTTAATTGTTTTCAATTTAAAATTCTGTGTTGAGTTTACCCTCTATCATCTACACTCTACGTTCTATGGTTCCATGTACCGGCGTAGAGGCTTACAGTTATTGTAGCAAATATTAAAGCTTATGGGGAATGTTTAGTGTTGTTATGGTTAACAGTATTTTAATAGTCTTTTTATTGTACAATTCTGTATTGAGTTTACCCTCTATGCTCTACACTCTACACTATATGTACTACCATCTACATTCTGCTCTCTACATTCTACCAGCTACTCTCTTCAATCTATGCTCTACAATCCACAATCTACGATCTACCCTCTAAGTCCATCTATGCTCTACGTTCTACCAGCTACTCTCTTCGATCTACGCTCTGCACTCTACGACCTACCATCTACCCTCTAAGCCCGTCTATGCTCTACTCTCTATGATCTACCAGCTACTCTCATCGATCTACGCTCTACGCTCTACGCTCTACCCTCTAAGCCCATCTGCTTGGAAGGTTATTGGATTTTAATCTTTTTTTTTTGTCAATTTTTTAATTTTTTAACGAAGACTACTGAGCAGCACAAAGGAAGACTTCTTGTAGTTGTAAGCTTTTTTGTTTATTTGCGATGCACTTCGCCTCTGTCTGAGAATGATTTAAGCGTGCCTAAGTTTACAATGTAACTTCCCATGGAAGTGAATAACTGCTGAAACATGCTGTAAATGAATGTTACAAGAAACGCCTTAATGCACATGCTATTGCGTTTTGTTATATTTTGGGGGCCATATGATTAGTGCTGACCGTATGGCCCCAAAATATAAAAAAAAGTTAAAAAAGATTTAAAAAGTAAAACAGTAAAAAAAGACATTTTTTGTTTGGAAGGGTCCCAAAGAAATCCTATCAGAGTTTCTTAGTTGTCACTATAGCAAGAATGATCATATCAAACTTATGTACTATGTTACTGACGAAAGTAGTATTTCGTTTCTCCATTTACATGTATTTGTTTACAAAGATGCTAATTTTAGCACTCTGCAGTTTTCTCTCTATCAAAAGCCACTAAATAAGTATCTGTACATTCGCCTTTGAGTTGTTTCATCGTGCAAGCAACAAGAGGGCTTTTATTAGAGGCGAGCTTATATGCTATACTAGGAATAGCTCCATGTTTAAAGCCTTTAGTGAAATGCGAGAAATTTTGGAAGCACCTGCGGCTTTGTGGTTATCCCGTTGGGTTTTTACTTCCTTTATTCAGGGAGGTTAATACAGTAACAGAACTAAATGGCTTTTGCTAAAACGTAAATCACTTAATGGTACAACAGTAGTCTTTAAATCTACATTTAACTGTAGTCATGCTAACTGATGTGAAGGATATTTTCTTATAATGTACTCAAAAAGTGCGAATACTTAGGTCATGTGACTTTGAACGCTTACTAGATGTTTTGCGACCATGTGGAGATGTAGTTTACTAGTTTTTAGGGTTGTAATTTGTCATAGAGATTGCTGTTCATTTCAAGTTTGAATAAATGGTTTAACTCAGAACCACTAACATCAAGCTGGTTATCCAGAGACATTTACCAGACTTAGACTGTATTGTCAGTTATAAATGTACTACTACTTTAGCACATCTGTGTAAATAGTATGTTTTGGGGGGGCCATACGATTAGCGCTAATTGTATGGCCCCCAAAATTTAACAACATGCAATAACATATGCATTAAGGCATTTCTTCTAACATCCATTTAGAGCATGTTACAGCAGTTATTCACTTCCATGGGAAGTTAAACTTAATAGGTATTTTTATGTGCTATATATGCTGTTCGATGTTAGTTGTAATCATTCCCTGAAGAAGTCTCAGACAAAGATGAAACGCATCGGAAATAAACGAAAAAGCTTACAGCTACAAGAAGTCTTCCTTAATGCTGCTCACTAGTCTTCATTAAAAAATTTTAAAAAAATTAAAAAATTCCAGTAACCTTCCAAGCAGATGGGCTTAGAGGGTAGATCAGAGATCATAGAGCATAGATTGAAGGGAGAAGCTGGTTGAACGTAGAAAGTAGAGTGTAGATGGGCTTAGAGGGTAGATGGTAGAGTGCGTAGATGAGCTTAGAGGGTAGATGGTAGATCATAGAGAGTAGATTGAAGAGAGTAGCTGGTAGAATGTAGAGAGTAGAATGTAAATGGGAGAGCATATAGCGTAGAGCATAGGGCGTAGAGGGTAAACTCAATACAGAATTGTACATTAAAAAGATTATTAAAATACTGTAAACCGTAATAACACTTTAATAACACTTTAATATATATGAGTTAATAAAGAAAGCCAATAAATTACAATTACAAAAATTACAGCATCACAGATGATTGAGAAACTTGGACTTGCAACCCAATACTTTTTATCACTCTACTGGTTTTTTAAGCCTGTAAGCTAGTGTAGAGAGTAGTCAAAAATTCTTGAACTGATAAACTCATAAATATGTAGAGTGCAGAGTGTAGATGGTGGAACATGGAGTGTAAGAGCTTTAAGAGCATAGCATGTTGACCATAAATGGAAGAACATACAGCGTAGAGCGTAGTCAGGGTAAACTCAGTACAGAATTGTAAATTGAAAACAATTATTAAAACACTGCAATCCGTAGTAACACTCAACATTCCCTAAGCGATATAATATTTGCTACAATAACTATACACCACTATACCTCTACGGTGTACGCATATCCGAGAGAAATGGAGCTTAAACATTCAAAATACTACCATAGAGTCGTAGAGCTCTACGAAAATTTCTACACCTAATTGAGCTTCATAGAATGGGCTGGGTATAGCTGAGGGTGTCAGTGAGGTACATCTCTTGACCTGGCTTGTAAATAATGGACACATTATACTTCTGCACTTTCAACAGCATCCGTTGTAGCGTCTTAGGTGCACACATTATAGTGGTTTGTCCGAGATGGCTGCAAGGCGCTTGTGGTCACTCTGGACTGTTACTGGGCGACCATAGACATATTGATCAAATTTCTGAAGTGCAAACACCACAGCTAGCATCTCCTTTGCTAATTGTGCTTATCGAGTCTCTGGGTCTTTCAAGGCATGACTTGCAAACCTTGTGGGTTGCCTGTTTTGTATGATGGCAGCCCCAAGTCACTTTCACTTGCATCACATTGGACAGTGAGCTCCTCTGTAGGGTTGTAATACTTCAGCAACGGTGCCAGTGTCACAAGGTCTTTGACCTTCTCAAACACTGCATCATGCTCATGCTGCCACTGCCATGGTACTTCTGTGCATATCAACTGCTGTATTGGTTCTAATACTTCTGTCAGGCGAGGTAGGAACTTCACAAGATAGCCATGTGCATGGTGTTGGTGTATAATGGCCTAACAAAATCTGTAACGCTAAATAGCAAGCTAGAGTGCAAAATTAAGGAACAATAAGATCAATCTGACAGCATAAATAACAAGTAAATTTCATGTGCATCTACCTGATGATAAGAAAATGGGCAAACATCCTTTTGTTATAAATTTACAACGAAATCAAAACACCGTACATACTTGAAATTTATGATGGAGTGAACGCACTAAGAATTTTGGCGATTATTTCTGCTTCCACTACATGTAATTAAGAATAACCAACGAAAATCTAGAAAAATCAAGGTGCACATTTAGCTGTAGTCAAAGATGAATTTCTTGTCAAATGGTAGCTTTTTTAGAGTTAGAAATCACTTTCTAGCGTTACATTCTAAAAAATTTAACAAAATTTTAGGATGAGCGTTCAGAGTTCAAACGAGCATTTGCATTCAGTGTTTCTCAATGGTTTCTTTTGTTCGTTTTGACCGTTTTGTTTCTATCGTTTTGTCGTTTTTACCTTTGGTTTTAATCGTTTCTACCTTTGGTTTCAATCATTTCTACCTTTCATTTCAGTCCTTTCTATCTTTTCCTTTCAATGGTTTATTGCATTTTGTTTCAATCGTTTCTAGCCTCCATAATGCTTAAACTAGATTCACCTGGAACACGAAGCGTTTTACAGCTGGGTGTCAAAACTGTTTGCACAAGAACATCTTGCAAGTAGACATGAATGTACCAACTAAACCTGTCAGGGAGGACTACAAAGGTTATCTTTTATCTCATTTTAAAATTGACCAGATCTTTCTTACTGAATGAATACGAAAGAAGTATTTAACCTCACTTTTGTCTTTCCCTGTGTCTTTTTCACCTCTGGCAGGCTCATGAAGGGAGTTTTTGGCTGACTTGCTTCTTTAAATTTTGATTTCTCAATTTTATATATTACTTCACTTCAATACTTAAGCAACCTTTTTTGTTTTCAGACCCATAGTCTGGGATGAGGGGGAAAAATTTCATTTGTACCACACCAGCAAGTAATCTTTATCAATTTTGTCTTTAAGCAAATTTGGATTCTAGAACCTACAACAACAGTTTTCATAAAATATTGAAACCCTTGAAAACAAGAGCAGTGGGCTCATCAACATGCATCAGTACTCCAATGTCTCTCAGTCTTTCAAGCTCAGTCTTGAGATTTGGTTTGATGGTGAATGCCACTCGTTGCCATGGTGCAATGCTTGGAGGCACTGAAGGGTCAATGTTGAGGTGCTGTAGTCCTAGTGTTCCCAGATCACCTTCAAACACATCACTGTACTGAACAATGATTTCCTGGCTGTTTCTGCTTTCTTACTGGTTGCAGAGGTTGTTGTCGCTGTTGCTACCTTTTCAAAATGTATCACTTTGCTGTATCACTTTGGTGCCCTGCAGTGGAGTCAAATTCTTCTTAACCACAATGGAATCAACTGAGTACTTCTTGGGGTTTAAGGGTTGTGTATGTTTCCACATCTGCAGAACACATTTGTTCAGCTAGATGTTCTCTTTGTTGACATATTTATGTGGCAACACATTTACTGTTGCACCGCAATCGATGTGGAATCTCACAGGCTTTTCGTTGATAAACATCTGTGCGTAAATTTCCCATTCTGAGATGCTGTTGACAGTTTCTGTTATCACTGGCTTCATTGTCACACAGTACAAGAATTCTTTCTTGCTAGATTCGTCATCTCTGACTTTGACGTTGTGTGTCTTTTCTCTCGCTGTACATTGGGATGCGAACTTGATTCTTTTTGGCATACGCTCCACACACACAGACCTAAGCTTCAAATTGGTGTCTAATGTCAGACTTAATTTGCTAATTTCAGTGTAGTAGTAAAACCTGTGTTTTCAAAAGGTGATTTGCCTGTCATGGTTTACTCATAGTGATTTGACCTCAGATGTGATACACCTAAAAATAAGTGGCAGTGAGTGATTGATCTCACTTCAACTTGTCTCTACATGTATGTTTCACTGGATAATTGACAGACTAGTAAATTTGCCAGAATTATGTGAGTTTGGGTGAAGAGGCAAATCATAGTTGTAACAACAGCAACAACATATATTTATACTACAGAGAGAAAAAAATACAATAACTTGAAACTTAAAAATATGGCATTAGCTAGCTACAATAACAATGAAACTAAAAATTGTCAGGCAGCTATCTAAAGATTTAATAAATTAAGCAGAGATCATGTTGCTAAACATGACTCAGTCAAAATATGATTCAACTACATGTATAATCATACATCTCTGGCAAGTATACAAAGAAGCATCCATGGAGGAAATTAAGATGTAGTTGAAATTAAGTAAACAATAAACCAGAAAGCCTGTGAAATTCAATTTCCAGAGGTGTGTGACTGTATGTAGTTGAATCATGATGGTCAAATTACATGGGTTAAATCATGTTTTGAAAACCCTAATTTGCCCACTGTACTGAAATTGTCCATAACAAAAAGTGTGTGTACAGCTTACAAATATATAAATAGTTAAGTTTAACATGCAAAATTTTGTTGCAGAACTTGGCAAACTTTAAAGGGAAATCCAGTAAAGATCAGTCAGTCACAGAGGTACAACATTCATGCCAGACATTTTTGTAGGCTCTGATTTCAGGTTGCATGTTGAGATATTGTACATAACAAGTCTCTTTTGTATCACTTAAAATGATGAGTAGTGTACTTATGTACTTTTATGAGTCATAAATGGTTTTTGTCCCAGAATCCTGCATTTTATAACTACACTGTACTATCCTACATTTTACAACTGCTTGCCAGAATCCCACATTTTTTAACCTGCTCATAGTCTTTATCAGAGATATCACTGACAGTCATTCAGCTTAGAGTAGAACACTTCCTTTGGAGGAAGCTCCATTTTGTTAAACTTAGAGAGACTATTCATATAGTCATATGGGTAGACACCTTTCCTCATGAGTAAATCTATGTGGCTATAATTATTCTTCATAGTTGTCCACAGGCTTTTGACATGATTCTTTTACTAATTTACAGTTTAAACACTCACCACAACGCCCAATCCCTTTCCATTCATCCTTCATATAGCGCTTCAAGCAATTTCCTGGTTTACATGCATAACATTTACCACAAGAGGTTAGATTACTAACCAATTTATCAAGGGAAGAAACCATGAACTTTAAGCTGTTGCTATGATGGCTTTGCTGAAGCTACTTACTTTTCTTCATTGTTGGGAGTTCATTTGACATTTCCTTCACTTTTGCTGAGGTTCTTGACGAATAGACAAGAGTCATAGTTGGCTAAAGTATGAAATATCACAGTCCTGAGTGAACTTCAGCTTCCTGGATTGGAGGTTGCATTTTTTGTGAGCTGCTCCACAATACTTTCTTGTGAAATGGCAGTGGTCTCTCACTTTATCTTTTTCATCTTCTATCAGTTTATCACATATCCAACATTTTTTTAGCTTGGTTGAACTCACAGCTTTCATCTTGAGTTAAGGGGGTCTCCTTCTTGATAAAGTCAAACTCTATACAAATCTTTCATCTACACTCTTTGCTCTATAGGTGCTCTTGAGAGTACAGCTTATCATCAAAGCAAATGATATGGTAACCAAACCCACAAGATTTATGTTCTTGATATTGTTTGGGGAAACTCTTTTCACTGCTTGGCTCACAGCTTTAAATTGGTTCAACCAAAGCTTCATAGTCAGCATATACTACAAAAGGAATTTTTATTGAATGGTTATGATTCTTGAATTTTATTTTTGGTATTTTCTTCCCCTGTTTCTCTATTTGTTTTCACCATAGGCATTTCAATCTTTATCGCTTCATTGTTCCAGCGATACTGTTCATGAATTGCTAAATTAAATTTTCTTTATTAGGAACGTGGTTCAGACTACTCAATCAAATTTCCTTTGATTCTTCACGATGTGAAACTTCCATTGATAACAACCTGCTCATGTTTTTTATCAGGCAAACATGTTTTTTATTAGGCAATAGTGCTTTCGTTTTTCTTTTGCAATGAGCAGCAAGTTAACAATATGCTTCCGTTTCTCCTTGCTTTTTCTTAAAGGATGGATTTCTTCTTTTTTGTGATAATGTCTTTATTCTGCATTTCAAACCTTCTTACGTTGTTAATCTCAACTGGAAATTTGATACCTCTCCAGTCAAGCAGCTCAGACTGATTACCTCAAGAAGCTTTGTGATCCTTTCAGGGTGCACTTCAACAGGATTAAGAGCTCTTGTCACACACCATTTGAAGTATTGATTGTCTTTGTTTTGCATGTTTGTGACTGCCTTCTTGCTTTTAATGAATTTTGGAAGCATGACATCAGATGAACCACTTAATGGGTTGTGATCGACCATATGAATATCAAGCGATAAAACTCTTTGAAACCTCCAATTACCGCTACTCCCCTTTGATTAAAGTTCTTTTTTTGAATTGCTTCCAAGAAATTGACAAATTCTTCAGATTTGATAACTATGTTAAGATTTTTGATTTGAGAGGTTTGGAAATGATCATTCAGAATTTCGACATTTTTGTTAATTAAGTTTTGTTTGACCATTTCACAATTCAAAATCATCATGACCCCTTTCTGACAATTCTCTCTCATTAACCTCAAGACTTCTGGTCTGGCTCTTTGCATGAATTCTCTTGGTCCATATCCTTCAACACCTTCAAATCAATATTGTCTTGTGAAACCATTCAAATGCACTGGCCGATTGTGTGATTCTTAGTTTAATGTTTTTTGTTGCTGTTGTTTATCTCTTTGATTTCTCTGATTTTGTTTTGTTGCGGAGTGGAATTCTGTGGAGGCAAAGTCTCTTTTTGATGTTTACATCGACAAAAGACTTTATTTTTCTCTCACAAGTTCAGCACCCTTGTGTTTCAGCAATCTTTATGGCAAATTGTGTTTAAATGGCTGTCAGTACAACAAAATAAGTGGAAATACCAGTAGCTAATACATGTAATGTACTTCTTTCGTCATACGAATGCCAAGATACGAAGTTTGAAATATTGCCACTTGAGATATTATATCATGATTACAGAATGGCTCCCATCGTAAAACGTCGCATGGGAAAATTCAAATGAGTAGATAAGAAGACAGAGAGCATGCGTAAGGCCTGTCATTCAAATAATCCCCAGTGTAGGTCGTTTTCTCAGATATTGTTCTAGCTCTGACTGCTCAAATTTTGCCCTATTTATCAGAGAAGAATAGAAGTAATTAGACAGTGTGTTTCATTGAGATAACTTTATGCTGCCAGTAGGCGGAGATTACAGAATGATATTTAAATGTACTTCTAGGGAAAAAAATTCTCACTTTCGCTACATACTTTTACTCTTAATTTGTGAACTGATATTTTAAATCAAATGTGGGCTTCATTACAAAATCTTCTGAAAAGTTTTAATGGACATTGATTTGTCTGAATCGGCTGGCACGCATTGATCAGTTGTTCACATTCTATGCAAATTTATCAGCTGGCGGCGCATTAGACTGAAAGTTGAAATCACTTTTTTCAGTAAGGGCGTGCAGGCATGAAATACTACAGTGTTTGTCAAATCTCAATCAAAAATGTTCCTTTTGTTGACAAAAATGTTTGAACAGTAGAATCTATGTTAGCGAGAGGATGGTTTAAATCAAATTATTTAATACTCCAAACAAGACATGTCAGATCACATTTCAATTTTCATACAATGTTTCAGCAAATCGATTGATCAAATTGAGCGAAGCGAAAGATGTCTTCTGAAGTTTGAAACTCACTTTTACATAAAAAATATATATATATATATAAGGTATAACTTCTTTGCTTATTGTATTTTTGCTGAACGCGTAGCCGTCAGTTCCAAAGAAATTAATGTGATCAAGTACAGGTATGTTTACTTTTCAAAAGCGAGCATTAAGTGCGTTCGATTGGCAAGTTTTAAGTGTCAAAAATGCTTCCATAGCAAAGTCTGCCCTTCCCACAAATAAGTAGTTAGAGGAACAAAGACTACTTGAAAAGTTTTACTTCAAAAAAGAAAGAGATGAGTGGATTTTCCCAAGGGGTACAATGTACATCACTTGGGGCTTTGATATTTGGCGTGAAAGATAACTTGCTTGATTTGTGTAAACACTCCATGTTTTGTCGATATGAAGTCAGGCAGTGCATTTCAACACTTTCAAACAACACTAATTGCTCCAACTGTATCTATATTATTTTGAAGGACACCAGGGGAGAACTTTTAGCTTCCTTTTGGGAATTTGTCACTCAAGAATCTTAAGGGCCCATTAACCAATTTATGTGCACACTCGCGCACGTTGCTAAGGAGGTGAAATTTCACTTCTGGTTACTTAAGTCAGCCTGTGCGTGGAAAGTAAAAACAACTCAATACCTTCCAAATTCGCTTACATTTTAGATGTTTTTCTTTGTGTTTCACAAAATGCAAAGTAAAAAAAGTACAAGCAGAGACAAAATAAGAAAAAGACAGAAAAACAAGAGCAATAGAAAGAGAAAAACTAACTCCATGTGGCTTTGTTTGATCTTACCAAAGTGTGCTGGTAGTGTAAATTGCACACACGCTGATAGGGTAACTTCCAATATATATCGGGCGCACTTTCGGTTTCTTTAAATGCTAAAGGAAATGCGGTTTTTCATTAAATCTAGCCTTTTTCGACAGATTTCGATCAAAGCCAATGTTGGAAAGACAGCTATGCATTCCTTTTTCAAAATCATGCTTTTTCCAGGAAATTACGAATTTTTTGATAGTTTGAAATAATGAGGTTATATGAGAATAAATTTTCCTTAGCAACAACTCAAAAAGATCGGTTAATGGGCCCTTAAGGACATTCGTGCAAAAACTTTCCAACATTGATTTTTCCCTGAGACTTTTACCACTGTAAGATAATGAGTTAGTTATGTCAGAAATGTAGAAAAAATGGGGGTTCACTGACTTCATTTTGGAGAGAACATGCCCTGAGGAATACCCTAAATATGAAAAATAAGGCTTCGTTAGTGAATAAGGCCACGGTGTCTGTAAGCCCAAAGATATTGCCATTAGATCTTTGAAGTGAAACGTTCTCTTCCAAATATTGTTTAAGAGTGAATGCCTACAAAAATTGACCTAAATCGCCTATCAATAGCACAAGTTGAAAAATTGATTTTGCTTGTATTTTGCCCATGGATAGGTCCTGGTAAGAATAGAAACGGGCCATAGTTAGTTTCTGCTAATACAGCTTTCTTTCATGGTAGAAATATGCCAAAAACGATTTTGCCCCGATTGGGCTCAAAATTAAACAATTCAGTTGATCCATCCCAGGAGTCAAAAACAAAGGGCAATAACTGAAAAATCAATGACTTGCCAAAGCAGGTAAAAATTTAGTGTCTTTCTTTAAAACAATGTTCCTTATCACTTCTTTCTGTTCTACACTGACAGAAACATTCTCCAAATTGATACCATTTAAGGCCTGTAACAAAGATTCCTTGAATCCTGCCTTGACGGCCACCATTGTCAATCCCATACAGTATATAGAAACATTGCAACTGCATATATGAAGACCAGAGGTCCTAGAATCTGGACTCACAAATCCTGTCTCCAGAGCCCTTTGATTCTCATGCCAAGGC